AATAAAAAGTCAAAATTCAAAAGATTTAGTGAATACTTTCATATTTTCAAGTTTTAAACTTGAAAAATTTTATTATTATTTTCTTTAATTACATTCTTATATATGAATATTTTTGTCTTAGTATGCTAAAATAATATTAAACTATCTATTCTAATTTATTCTTGCACTGTTTTTTTCTTTAATTTAACCTGATAATTTTCTTTGTTTTATAAAATTTGATATTATTGGCAATTCATAATATTGATGATTCATCTGTTTTAATTATCAGTTGATTTTATTATATTTTGTTCTTATCCTTTAAAATTCATATCTTTTTACTAAAGTCTACTCTAGCCATCCTACATTTCTTTTTCCTACATTACTCTCATATTAGGTTTGAATCTGAGTTTAAGCTATATTATATTATAGACGTTATTCTTTTTTTAAAATAATTTTATTAAATATAAATTGATTTATTATTTTAATCATTTCCTTTAATAATGCAACTTCTACCTATCTTACCAATTAAGATTATTATTGTAATGAATCAAAGATTTCAACTTTATGACTATAAATAGTTGATAAAGGATATCTAATTAGAAGGAAGCTTGAAAATATTTATAATATTTAAAGGTTGTTAAGTTAATCATATCTTTGAATAAATATAATGCCAAAAGTTTTAAATTCCATTTCAATTTATATAAATAAAATTATATTAGGATGCCATATTTTAGCCTATTCTTCTAAAAATGAAATATTGTCTAATAATTTTATTCCTGTTCCTACTTTAAAGACATAAATTTTATTTAAATCTTAAAATTTCATCTCTTGAACTTTCCAATATCTCAAAAATATCCTTACTTACTATTCTAGCCAATACTAATCCTTAAGTAAAGTTCTCCAAAATTCTATAATGCTCTTTTTTTAATTGAAATTTAATAACAAAGATTCTTCTATCTCCTAATTTGTAGATTTTGTGTAATATGAAACTTATCTATGAAACCAAACAAACCAATTATATATAAAACATAAATCAGAACTTATATATAGCTGCTATAAAATTGAACTATTTTTAATAAATTCTTTTGAGTAATTTACTGATATCTAGGTATCTAAGGTTTCTGCCAAAGAATCTTATTTTATCAAACGTATTTTTAATATTACTATTCTAAATATTAAAGTCGTTAGAGCAAAAACTTTTGATGAAAAGCTTTCA